GGCCACGCATCATTGGCTCGTCCTTGTGTGAAGTCATGGTTCATTTTGAAGTCCCCATCCTCCATGTTTAATAAGGAACAAATATTACATGAGCAGTGTCAAATGCTAGAGGTGTCCTGAAGATTTCTGCTGTAGTATTTTAATCCAGGGACCACTTACATATTTTTTCTTCAACATTATGTAATGTTTATTTGTTCGTCATTTAACGTCTGAAACATCAATTATCCAGCTTCCATATTTGGTGTTGTGCGCACTTGATTATAATGCTCACCCCTCATTGTTGGGTACAAGTATTGGGATATTGATTCTATATTTCGTCAAGAACTACCTTGTATTACTGCAGGGGAACAAACAGGAGTAACAGACTTGGTCAATGAAAATGAGAATTTTGAAATAAAACATCTCTGGAAATGGTGATTTACAATTTAGATTGTATTTCCTGTTATGCTGGTATTATTGTGTATGCAGAGATTAAGATTATTGCATGTAAGGCGACATTTTTTTATTTCTTGGTTTACGGATTTCAAACTCGTTTCAAAAATGAGGTAGGCAAATTAAAAAACAACAACCAAAAAACCTTTCGAATTGTTTTTTTACCCTCCTTTTATCCTAAAAAAGTTAGGTAGGCATATAAAAATATATTCTGGAGTAACAAAAGTAAAAAACAACTAAATTTTTCAATAACATTTTATTATATCCCTGGCACTCAGCTTGTGCACAAATGGCAAATAGAACAATATTCATGTCATGGTGAAATGCATGAAAGACGCCGCCATTTTGGCAGCATGGGTGACGATGAAACTGTTCACAAATTTCGCTTTGTGTTGACACCCTTTGATGTTATTACATTAGGATCGCAGCAAGAAATATCAGAGTGACTACCCTTTGCTTTACACTCTACGAGGAAACAAAATCTTTTTTTTGTTTGAACTTGAGTAATATTTATTTTTATTTTTTTAAACATTTGGACAGGATGGTGCATCCGTAAACCAAGAAATAAAAAAAATGTTGCCTAATTTTGTTTTGTAAACTAATCCAGAAATTGCAGTCAGCTGTACACAATTTTCTCCCAATCTGCCAGTGATTCAATTAAAAAATATTATAAATGAAAAGAATTTTAATGCAGTGATTGGAAGAAATTGTATCTGAAACTACTTGTCCTATATATTTAAAAACACTTTAGCATAGTTCTTTACTATATTGCCTGGGACATTTTGACAAGTTACAGTTTGCAGCTATTTTGATTGCACAAACAATATATTACCAAAATTAATGTGAACAATATTGGATGAAATTAAAATATATTAGATAACAAAGGTAGGGCCAGATATGCAATGAACACTTTTTTAACCAGATAATGTGATAGTACAGATATTGGTGTCTACTCAGATCTATGGCAGATTCCACAAATCTTGACCTTTCATAAGGGTAATATGATATTTTATGGACCCAAGAAAATGATATTGATCGTCAATAATTGTTGTATTTGATAATATTTGATAATAAAAAAAACCCCATGAATATTTCAAATTCAACAATAATTGAATCAGATGTTAGAGGACGTCACAGGAGATAATGCACAACAAGCCTTGTGTTATGCTCTCTGATTAGCTGATAATATTTCTCTCATTGAGTCCATGGCTTAATCACTCAGGGCAATACCATGTTTAATCGCTGGCAGGGTGGGTCTCAGGGCAATAAAACTGTGTTTTAAGGAAGGTCATGTTACCCTTTCTCGACCAATGAAAATACAAAAATAATGATTTATGTAAATGTAATAATAAACTCTGGCACACAGATGTTGTTACTCCGTGCAGAGTTGCCTCATAGCCATGTCAGAATGTTCAAATCCCAGCTTCACCATGATGTTTCTGGGTTTGACAGAACCATATCTGTGTTAATGGCTTTCACCAAAGTGGTAAACATCTTAAGATCTGCAACATTTGTGCTTCCCCACCACACTTAAAAGCTGATACGAAATGTTGGAGCATAAAGTGTAGGGTGTTACGCCCAACCCTACTCACTCACTCACTCACTCACTCACTCACTCACTCACTCACTCACTCACTCACTCACTCACTCACTCACTCACCCACTCACCCACTCACTCACCCACTCACCCACTCACCCACTCACTCACCCACCCACCCACCCACCCACCCACCCACCCACCCACTCAGGGACCAGGCACTGTCATTTTAGGCATTATAGGCTAACAGTAAATGCAGCCTTGCATACAGCGGGAATACAAGAGCCTTTTCTTGAATGTAATGTTGAATTTAGTTAGTCTGTCGTTATGAAAGGTTGCATTGTACTTAAGTTGGAGAGGGGCTTTGAAGCGATCTGAATAAGCACTGCCACAAGGATAGAATACTAAGTCCATCATCGTCCTACCCTCATCAGTCACTAAGGACTTACTGTTACATCTTTACAGTTGGGAGTGATGTACCGAAAGGAGACTGAGACGGTCTGGCCTGTAATATTCAGTAATGGGGATTATGCAGAAGAGATTAGACTGTCTCATAGGCTGTTATTTATTATCCACATATTTCCATAGGATTAGAGTGTCAGGGTAATTTTGGCCACAGTTGCAGAGCTTCATGTTAAGTACTTGCACAATAATATATGACTATGTATATCATTGCTGTCTCATTTGAGCACAAAGGACATTTTGTTGTTGATCATTTTAACATTTAAGATTCGTCCTTGCAAAACTGCTTTATGTTAGTGCTGTTTTATTTATAATTTTTATAAATTTATATGAACTATGCATTATTTGTATTATTTAATGACTAGACATCTGTGAACATTTATTTCTATCTTGGGTTTCGCAACAGAATTTCTTTGTGAGGTTTGTTGGAGAAAATGTAATATCGTAGAACATTATTTATTATTTAGTCACATTCACAATTGTGTGAAGTTGTTGATTTTGTGAAATGCTTGTACAGGGCGTCTGAAAGGTGGTCAGACTCTGTGACTTGATTGATTGCATGTCATTGTATGCAAACCTCATGGGGTGTTGCACATGATATCAATCACTGGTATAACTGGTCTAGACTCGGGTATTTGCACACCACCAACATGTAGCTGGAATATTTACAGGAAACCAAACTGTAATCTGTGTGAGAGTACCGACTATGTACTCAGCCACTGATTTTGAATAACAGCTAGTCATCTGCTATTTCTGCTGGCCACAGGTAAAATACTGTCAGTTAGGTTGATCTTAACACTTTAATGTGAAGAACATGTTCTGATCGAAAAAATGGGGTAGCCCTGGGTCAATAACAATCCTTGTAACCCCAGCCAATAATCTTTCTGGAAACACCATTGTTTCTGAAGGGGATATAATCCTGCTGGGCAATAGCTGTGGTCTGGATGTGACATGGATCAGTTCAGTCAGATGCCAATGCCCTGAGACCTTGGTCGAGGTGATATCACGTCTTGTACACCAAGTGACAGACTATGGTGCCAGACTGATATCACGTCTTGTACACACAGACCATGGTGCCAGACTGATATCACGTCTTGTACACACATGACAGAGCATGGTGCCAGACTGATATCACGTCTTGTACACACAGACCATGGTGCAAGACTGATATCATATCTTGTACACACAGACCATGGTGCCAGACTGATATCACATCTTGTACACACATGACAGACCATGGTGCTGGACTGATATCATGTCTTGTACACACAGACCATGGTGCCATACTGATATCACATCTTGTACACACATGACAGACCATGGGGCCCGACTGATATCATGTCTTGTACACACAGACCATGGTGCCAGACTGATATATCCGAAACCTATGATTCTTAATTCAAATTACTGATTATGTCTAGATTTGGCAGCACCAAATGGTGTTCATGTTCACACAACCTGCCCGACTTTGCCTTTCCTCCCACAAGCTGAAACATGTGGTGTTACTGAAATATTGTTCTGGAGCTGCATGGAGGTGAAACTCACCCATTCCAGTCCAGATCTCGACCTCCGAGTGCCCTTTGCGAAGGAGACTGTTAACTACTACATTGATGGGCATAAACAAATGGTACTGACAAGGAAGTTTTTGAATGATCTGATTTAAATTTGCTTGGACTGCCTACTTCTTACTACTTAGTTGTATCTTCCCTTTTCCCCTCTTCCCTTCCCTTCCGCCCTTCCCTTCCCTTCCCCTTTCCCGGACTCTGTAGTTCCCTGACTTGATAGTCCCCTTCCCCGGACTCTGTAGTTCCCTGACTTGATAGTCCCCTTCCCCGGACTCTGTAGTTCCCTGACTTGATAGTCCCCTTCCCCGGACTCTGTAGTTCCCGGACTCTGTAGTTCCCTGACTTGATAGTCCCCTTCCCCGGACTCTGTAGTTCCCTGACTTGATAGTCCCCTTCCCCGGACTCTGTAGTTCCCTGACTTGATAGTCCCCTTCCCTGGACTCTGTAGTTCCTGGACTTGATAGTCCCATTCCCCGGACTCTGTAGTTCCTGGACTTGATAGTCCCCTTCCCCGGACTCTGTAGTTCCCTGACTTGATAGTCCCCTTCCCCGGACTCTGTAGTTCCTGGACTTGATAGTCCCCTTCTCCGGACTCTGTAGTTCCTGGACTTGATAGTCCCCTTCTCCGGACTCTGTAGTTCCCTGACTCTGTACTCCCCCTTCAAGAATCCCAGTATTGATCAGATTTCATCTTTTAAAGGTTAAACAGGTTTTTTCCAACTTGACTATCTTTAGCATTAACATTCTTTGATCTTTGAAAAAGAATATGATAACTAGTCATGTCTATGTGTATTATTTCACCATTTGCATTTCAAGCACAAATCTTAATACATAGGTCCATATGTAGTCTTACATCAGAAGCCAACTAATGAGCAGGGACACTTCTGTGTCATGTTGTCTTGAAAATGTCACAGCTATATATGTCTACATCATAGCTTTATCTGCTTCCATTCTTCCAGCTCTGATATTGTTATAGTTTACTTCAGAATCTCATTTATCTTCAGGTATGTGGAAGAACATGTTCAGAAAACAGGGGTTGCCATAGAGACGCAAGGATTCACATTCATTACAAGTGGTCGCAAAAGAGAATCTCTCACGGTGAGAATGTTTGTCACTTTCAATGCTGAGGTATTTTGGTATTACGTAATTTGCTTTCCTGAAGGACATCAGTATCAGTAAGCGTTTGGCCTACCGGCTTACTGTACTCTGGTGGCCTAGTCATCTAAAGCGCAGCAATTCGCTGTGCAGAGTTGCATCCCTTACACATGCCAGCCACCTGTGATTTTGGGTTCCAATCTCAGTTCGCCACAATGATGTTTCTAGGTTTGTCAGCACCATGCCCCTGCTTGTGGCTTTCACCACAATGGTAAATGTCTGGGACCTGTATACGGGCTTTCCTGCCATATTAAGCTGACACCATGATATAACTGGAATACTTTTCCGCAGTGTTCAACCCAATCCACTCACCCACTGGTTTACATGTGTTTGTGATATTCTGTTGTCTCCACTCTGAATGAGTGAGTGACGCCATGTTTTATGCCACACTCAGCAATATTTCCACCTTATCATGTTGGCCTGACAATGTACTAACATGGCCCAGATAGCTGGTGGTAAATATCGTCACCTCCCAGGGACCTGTTTTGACCAAGAATCCCTCAGGGGCAACTGGATATGAACTGGTACTATTTGAACACTTTAAGGTATATTACTTTAATGTTGTTTAATGCATCACTGGGGAATATTCCTGCTATATGACAGTGGCCTGTAAATATTCTAGTCTGTACCAGACAATCCAGTGATTGATACAATGAGCAATGATCCACTGTCGGGACATGATGACGGCTGATCCATTAAAATCTTCTTTTACATCCAATATGGGTTGCTGGGGACCAATTCTAACCCAGAATGCCCATGGATACAGCAATTGCATGAATGAGCTTGCTTCAACACATGGGTGGTTTAAGCTAAGTGGTTCAGACATTCATTCAGCATGCTGAACACTTGCGTCCCAGTTGCCACATGGGTATCTGTGGAGCCCAGGAGCCAGGAGCCCATTCTCAGTGTCCCCTGTCCTCGTATGGCTGGATTGCTGTTAAACATGGAGTAATACCTCTCTCACTCGCCTTTAGTTCAGCCTGAGATTAGCAGGTACTTCACATGGTGTTGAGCGGTCTGTCACACAATGATTTGATGTCTGTATAAAAACTCCCTTATGGATGATGATTACTGGCCAGGTTTGTTAATATTGAGCAGACTAAATATATCATGATACTGATTCTTGTTTGATAGCACCAAAGAATGCACAATTCTATAAGGCAATAATTGTTAGTTTTAATGATAATTTCCAGATTATATGAAAAGTAAGAATATGTTGTCCCCATAAGGAACTGACATCCTTACCATCTGCTTATCTAGCCTTGCCTATTATGAGGATAGAATTATTTTACACCCATGGACTTATCATTTAGTACAGCCTTGGAGCAAGGCTAGATAGCACCATACCCCATGCTCTTGGGTTTCACCAAAATGGTAAATTTCATAAGACCTGCATCACTCCGGGCTGTTTTTAATTGTCATGCCATGATACTTTCAACATATTCAGCTACAATTTTAGAGATTTTCTGTAGTCCGAGTGTGAATACAGGTCAAGTGACCATTTGCCTGTGAGATTGATTGGCTGGGTCTTGTATACAAAGGGCCAAGGCACCCGTTTTGCTCCAAAGTAGAGGGGCTTTATTTTCAGGAATCACAGTCTGGAACACTGGTGATTGATGATAGCTGTGTAGGTGGCCCATCACCTGGGACTATGATTTGCCTGGTATACAAGACTTAGAGCCTTTGGACTACGTCTTCCCAGAACATAGTCTATAATTACAGAAGTTCAAATTTGGCTTTGTGTGCCCTGTAGTCTAGGGTGCCACAATTTCTTTTTTGAGAGTTGAATCCCTGTGACTTGCCTCATTCACACAATGATGACGTGGCATGATATAGCTAAAATACCTAATCAGTTAACCCAACTCACTCGTGGTGGTGATAGCGTCCGCCCGGAGTGAGGAAGGTCCGGGGACGTCAATACCCTGGCCACGTCATACCAAAAGACGTTAAAAGATGGTATTTGTTGTTACCTTGTCTGGCGCTCGGCACTAAGGGGCTAAAACAAGGACTGGTCGGCTACAAGTCAGTATACTGTGTCTGAGTGGGGAATTCATGTTAAAATGCTGCATGGTATCTCAGTGGGCAAGCACTATAAATCGGCCTCAGTCCAGACTAGTACAAGCAGCCACACACACATGCATGCACGTCGCTATATAAGCTGAATAATCTTGGACGCGAGGTTAAACCCCATTTCATTTCACCTGTCGGCGCACAACCGTTTTTCCTCTCCAAGTTGATATTGAGGTTAAGGGGGTTGACAAGTATGTTTCTAATACCATGCTGAAAGAATTTAGAAAAAGGTGGGTTGTTAACTTGGAGAGAATATTTTGTCAAGAAAACATTTGAATATGTAACATCCTGTCTTGCTTTCTTTGTTGCACTGTGTTCAAAGAAAGGCCACATAGTTTTTGTTGTCTACAGATGTTTACTGTCCCAATTATCTTGGGTTGATTGAAAAAAAATTTATAAAAGAAATTGTGTGGCTGAGTTTTAAAAACCTTTTTTTTTTCACTTTAAGTACTTTGAGATCGTGGGATAAAATAAACGTTTGGACTTTTTGAACACGTAGTTAGGTATTTTCTGAATAGTAACGTGTGTGTATGTGCTGCTGAGAAGGTTTTCTTAGAGGTTCGTAGTGGCCAGAGATGATCAATTATTATTTAAAAAGATAGGCATTTAAGTTTGATTTTTGTAGATGTATCGTTTTTCTAATGGAGCAGACATGGCAGGATTGGGCATGTACAATTTTTTCAAAATATTTTCATATTTCTCTTGGTGGATTTTTTATTTGGTCAGTTGAGTCCATAAACCGAAAAATTACTGTAGTGTTGCCTTGGACGTGTCTGAGTGAGGAGTGTCGCAGTGTTTCCTGTCTAGCTTCCTAGACCTGTGAAGTGTGCCAGTGTTTCAGCTCGGCCCACACCTGCCTGTTGGTGCACTCACTCACCTCAGGAGCACATCCATCTTGTCGAGGCCTCTGCTGGCCAAGTGCACCAGCCTCAAGGCAAAGGTCACCACTCGTCATCATGTGTGTTACGTTTGTGCTTTTTCTTGTTGCAATTGATAGCAACTTGTTTGAGTTTATGTGCTTGCTTGGTCATGATTAGAATAATGATAGATATATTATTCATGTTTGTGGTTTCTCGTTTGTATTGCTAGTGTGTGGGGGATTATTTTATTATCTATAATATATCGCAACAATTATCATTTTTGTGATATCCTACTCACTCACTCACTCACTCACTCACTCACTCACTCACTCACTCACTCACTCACTCACTCACTCACTCACTCACACACACACACACACACACACACACACACACACTACCTCACTCACACACTTACACACACTACCTCACTCACACACTCACACACTCACATGAAGTAGTGTCAGATTAGGCTTCTTCGTTGAACGGGGAAGGGAGGTAGAAGACTGCAGAATAGTAGGGGTAGTAAAATTGATTGGCAATATTGTACCATCCCCATTCTCTATACTGTGGAGCTACCCTAACAATATTGCCCCCATCCTCAATACTGAGACACTGAGGTTCACGACACTACTTCAAGGCCAGTTTGCCCATGATAAAATATTTAATACAATGCACATAAACGACATGTATACAATGTCATGACCCATATGTTTTCCAGACATGTAAATGAGAGTCACACCTTGTTTTGGAAGCTGAAGTACTGAGCATTCAATACATTCACAAGACACTCCCAGGAGCAATCCAATGGTACTCTCCTGCAGAAATCCTCTGTCTGCTTGGAAGTGTTTGGGACATGATGTAGAGGTTGAGACTTGTGTGAGGTCCCCACAAGATGCTGCACCAGGAGTGTTCTCCTGATCATGACACATCACAAACATCATCCAGTCTTGGGGATGGGGGTGTCCAATATGTTTAGAAAGGCATTAACATGTGCACTTACTCAGCTTTGGAGCTTCGTTCAAGGTGCTCTGCTCATAATTTGCCTGTTGTGTATGTGGATGTCCATCCCTAGCTTGTGCAGCCATGCAGAAAGGTGAGAGAGGGGGATTATTGGCTTATGTCCTTGGTGATATTTCTGGTCAGATTGTATTAAAATGAGTTTACTGGCTGCCTACTTGAGAGGTTTGTCCTGTGCAGTCCTTGTTGTTGGAAGGTTTGTTATGCAGAGGGGGAATATTGGTTTCCATCCTTGGCGATATTTCTGGTCAGATTCATGTCTGTTCTGGACATTGAATGTTGAAAGGTATACATGTCACACCTTCTTGTTTAAAGGTATTCTGATACTTTTTCAAGTCATGCAGCATTATGCAGTGTGCAGCAAAATTTGCAATGGTTAATGATATTCATGCGCCTGCCCGTAGGCCCGTGGCAGGTAGATTTGTGTCGGGGCCGTAGTTTCAACGTTGTATAGGTCCTTATGGCCTGCAGTAAATTTAGATGTTGATTTATTTGTGACAGTAAACTGCAGTGTTTGACATGAGGGCCTGAAGAGTTTAGTCAGGGCCTGCAGCTTCTAAAGTCTGTGGGTCCTGATGGCAGCCTGGCAACCCCTTTTGTTCAAACACTGTTCTGTAGAAATGATGAAAATGGAGATTGGCATCATACCTGACTCTTGGTTTCGCTGATGTAGCTAAAGTCCGCATCACTTCAAGCTCTCTTCCCAAGTATGTATGCAAGGAAATGTGTTGTGCCATTATTTTATTGTCTGAGGTATTACAAAATGAGACATTTACTGACTCCATAATGAAAAGCTGCTCCAACTATTTGTAGTCAGTGACTTGTAAAACCAGTCAGAACAGCGTGAACTTTGCAGATTCTATGTCCAAACAATTACTTGGGCCTATAAACATTCTGGCAGTCAGTTTTACCAATGTTAGCACCAACTCTTCCTAATTCTATCTTGTCCAGGCTTGGTTATTTACAGCCCACTGTGAATATTACTCAGACATGAAACATCCACTAGCCCATGCATATGCGACATTAAACAGCATGATATTAAAGACATGTTATTGACTAAGAACATTTGTTGGGACTTCATTAGCAATTTTGATTTGTCACTACTGACAGTTGCAGGCACTATGATTGGTTAATTTTATATTTTTCTCACTATGCATTGTATATTTTACAAGACACTTGTTTTTAAATGGACTGAAGTTTTGTCAGTGATTTGAGAAATTGTTTCGTACAAGATCTCAAAATTGGAAGTCTGTATCAAATGCAGTGAAATGGAAATTTTATCCAGTAGGTATTATATTTTTGAGTTGTGACAATAGAAACAGGATTCACAACAAGCATTGGAAAATATATCCTGTTAGAGAAATGAGCCTGGACTTTGGCCTGATAAGTTAATAACCATTTATTATCTGCTTGAACTGAATAGGATGTGAACTTGTCAAACTGATGTTAGGACTTAATGCATGGGTTAAAAACAAATTCCGCCGACATACCGATTTTGAAAACAGGTGGCCAGATTTGCCGTTACATAACTCTTTATCCTTCCTTGTCTAACTCTTTATCCTTTCTTGTCTGGGCCATTCTGACTTGAAAGGATCGAAAATTTATTTCAAATACCGTATTTGACGTAATAAGCGCCCCGCTCTAATAAGCGCCCATGGAGATATTTGCTAATATATTGGCCAGTGAACAATCCTAATTAGCACCCCTTCCAATTGATCAATGTACACAAGACTTATTTATTTGCGTATAATATGCACCCATGTGTTATATGCACACTTAATTATGGGCAATTAAATTCTGGAAAAATATATCTGTCGAACATAAACATTTCAGGCTGTCAGCATAAACCACAAAATTTATCTTTTAACTCGTTTGTTTTCACTAAAATAATATTCTAATAAGAGCCCCCTATTTCTAATTTTGAGAGCGCCCTGGGCGCTTATTACGTCGAATACGGTATGTTCCCGGCACCACATGCTTGTGAGAGAAATGAGAAAACGGTGGTTATCATGTGGTACTACCTGATTGTATGTCATCATGCCCAGACTGCTGGGATCAGGGCTGGCGCTGGGAAACACTGGTCTGCCTCACCCACACTCAATTAGTTACAAGTTGCCATGATATTGCTGGAATATCTACGATACAAGGCATAACACAATATTTACTCACTCACTCACTCACCACTCCCTTCTTGGATCAAAGTTCAGGTTGTCCCGCCCAGGATCTGATACCATTGCAGACAGTATTGAATATCTTCGGTTGGTTACTGGCTTACATTTTTGGCAATTACAGTATATTATTAACATACATTCTGTTGTAAGGGTTATCAAGGAATGTCATTCCTGTGATGTGATGTTTAATTTCACTCCGTTTCCAGCAGTCATTCCTTCTCCATCCTGTTATAGTACCAGCAGCTTCATCTCCCTCTTCTCGTGTTGTTTGCCAGATGTCAGTGACACCTGGATTAATCAGTGTCCTTGTGCCCATGACATAAACCAAACCTGAACCACTGATTGATTAAATACATCACAATAAAAGAGACAAGATATGTTTTCTTTTGAATGAAATTAAAAAGTTATGATAAGAAAATTTAACATAGCTCAAGATGTTATGTTTGTGTATGTATCTACTTGGGTTCTCTTCCCACAAACTGACACACCGTGGTATAACTGAAATACTACTCACAGCCAACCTCTCACTCTGAATGGTTCTTGTGCATCCTCATATGTGTATATATATCATGGTATAAGTGCATTTGAGCAGTTATAAATTGGAAAGTGTGCTATACAAATTAATAACAAGTTAACACTGCAAGATTCTGAAAGTAGCAATCAGCTCAAGTCTGATAGGTTTTGTATGTCTATATTTTTGATGATGGTTGAAACCAGAGAAGTAACAGAGCAATATGGCTGCATCATGACACGATTGCTGAACAGTTTTCTGTGTCAAGCTTGAATTTGCATGAGGCATTTCCAGATTGCAAGTTATGGCACTTTTAACAAAAAAAAAACCATTATAAAATTTATTTCTTTTTGTTTCCAGGGGAATGCTACCCTCCATCTGTACCCTCATTTTGATCCTCTCCGAGAGATTGACGGTGAGAATTTTGTTTTTGTAGCCCTGTTCATTGCAGTATTTTGACTAGCATTCAGTGGAACCTTGTTTGTCCAGAAACCCTGCTACCAGGATAATAACTGTTGGATACATCTGCCAACATACAAAGGACAATGTTCTTGAACAATGGCTTGTTAATGGGAGACCTAGAAAACATGTTTCTCTAAAAATGAATTGTTAAGTTAGAACTAATAGCAGTATGTCACAGCTAGTCTCTTGATAATGTTTAGTTTTATGAAGGTAAGTATTTTGCTGAGTCGTCAAATATTCACTTTTGGTTGGGTAGACGTCTCTCTTCAGGCCGGACTATTGATAACCGTCTGTTGGATGGGCAGCACAGCCATCTGTTATGTTAGGCGAGATGTCGAGTAACATATGTTACCATTTGACAACATCAATTTTATGGACCGTTATTTCCTGGACCCATCAGTTTGTGAAGCCTGATTAAAATTTCAAAGATACGGTGAAAAAAAGATTCCAGGAAAATTTTACTGTGGAGGGCTTGTAAGCAGACATATAAATTCAATTTTCTGTTCGTTTTGCGTCTAAATTATTGATTAGGCCCTGTCTGTTTGCTCTCCTTCACCTTTTTACAGTTAAAGAACAGGCTGTCGGCTCCCCATATATTAATGCTATTCTGGCTAAGCTTAGTAATGTCTAGATGGGAGAGCTTCAGCTGCCCACGGGCTGGTTTTAGACCACGACTACACAAGGAACCCCAGCCAGATTTATGGACAAATTCCCCCAGCTTGTGAAGACAACTATGTTGGTGTCTGGGTCAGAATAGGTTGTGCTTGTTGTACAAGCAGTCTAAAATAGAAACCAGATAGTCAGTTTGTGTTACTGGCTGATTGTGTCATCGTATCCTGATGGCGTGGCTAGTTGTGCATACTTTCAGTCACTGGTTTGACTGGTCCACACTTGTGTATTCACAGGTTGCCTTGATGTAGCTGGAATATTGCTGACTGTAGTGTTAAATAACATCCAATCACACTCACAATGCCAACTTGCATTGTATTTGAAGGGACACGTGGACACAATTTTATATTTTAACCCTACATACATTTTCTATTTGTTTCTCAAATCTGGTAATTTTTGCAATTGATTGTGTCAAAGGAAGGCAATTATAATCATTTTAGATTAGCAGCTGACTATATGCTGGTAGTCATCCCCACATGATGCAGGGTGTGATAGAGCATAACACTAACAGGAGCAGACATGCTGAGCCTAATCATACCAGTCCATAATTCTCTCGAGACTAGTCGATTGGTAGCACAACTGCATATGTTCCCTGGCCACTAGTCATCACTAGTGGCCAAGTCAGATCCAGGGTTAAAAGGTGGTAAGTTCGAGAAATAAAGAGAAACCCTACTTTTCTAGTTTGATAATATTAGGGAGGTGTCTTGTGATGGCATAACTGTCACTTTGACCCCTTGGTCCGATGTTGTCCCGAGCCCTGGTTGCCGTCAACAGTGAGGAGGTGGTGACTAGTGGATCATTCTTCTCATTGTGTCATCATACCCTGTGTTACCCTGTCCCCAACGATGTGGGTCATGTCTTGTGCTGTCAACCACTGGTGGTATGGCCCAGAATCAAATATCAAGTCAACCTTGTAATAACTGGAATATTGCTGACTGCAGCACAAACATTTTCTGACAAATAGCCTTTACAACAACAATGCTGCTGATTGTGTAGGGTATAATTATGTTGGATCTGAAACATGGTGTTACGCACTCACAAGTCCTTCACTGTTGCGAAGGAAAATCCATATTGTGTTGATCTGACTCCCACCAACAATATGTCCAACTACTGCTTCACAGAGGATTCAGCAAACAGGTTACCTTATGTGCAGTTCATTTAGATAGCCATGAATTGTCATGTCAAGGCATCATTGTTGGAGCTTTGTGTACATGTGAAAATTCACTTTTTTGAATTGGGGGACAAATCTGCATAGCTCTTATGGCCTGTAGTTCTTGTGAGACCCAACCAGGGCTAGCCCATTAGGAGACAAATGGATGGGCCATTTGGGATTACATAAACAGTGTAGTTATTTTGGGTTGTATGTCATTTTTGGCCATTTCTGCATTATCATCCTGAAATTTAATATACGCCAAGTATGTGGTTTGGGGAATGACATATGTCTTTGATTTTCACATACCTCTGTTTTTCTGGTCTTACAAGCTGCTGTGATGTGACTTGAATATTGCTGACAGCATTTTGCACCATCCTTCGCATGCCCTGGCGGAGGTGTTCACTTCATGATCCTGATCTGTGGACCTTTGACAACTACCAGAAGAAGCTGCCTTATGTTGATCCACACAGGCCAAATGTCTGCAGCATATCCACATGGGATAAATGTCTTGCATTAGGAGTGTTTAGTTTCCAGTTGATTAGGCATGAAGCTTGCACTTCTTGAGAGCTACATCTCAGACATCAGAGGGAGGTGGAGGCAAGATGAAGGATTCCAACTACCCTAATTCTGTGAAGATTTGACATTACATTTCATCCTTGTGATGATAGATGTCACTGGAAAGTTGCCAAATAACTCATTGAGTTATCAAAGAAAATGAAATCATGTAACAGTATAAAGCTCCAGTAGTTATATGTATCAGCCGTCAGTCAGCGTTTTTACGGGCATATTTGATGCCTTACTTTGTTAGACTGTTTCCTGTTCGGATTTTCTCAGTTAGATTTGTCCTCATCAACCTATGCTTGTCGTAAGAGGAAGCCAAAGGGATTACATGGTCAGACTCTGTGACCTGGTTGAGTGCGTGCCACCATACCCAAAGGCATGGATCATTGCTCACAATATCAATCATTAGATTGTCTGGTACAGATTTGATTACAGATCGCACTCACTAGAATAGTGCTGAGTACTGCATTAAAAATATAATGTTTCTTGCACTTCTCATTTGCCCTGGACATAGTTTAGATTCAGATCAAACTTGTGTTAAACCTCACTCACTCACTCACTCACTCACTCACTCACTCACCTTGGAAGTATGAAAACCCAAGAAGTGATACACTAATGTTATGTTGTGTAGTTAGAAGTCCTACTTTTTATGTAATTTCTGTGCTTCTTAATCACTTTTGTTAAATCCACATAAATATATGTGTGTGAAGCTAGTTTTTACATCTGTAGTTGTCATAGTGATAACACCACTGATCTTTTATTTCTTCATGTGTCAACAAATTGCTGCTTTTATTTTCGAATCCCCATATGAAATTATCCTGGTTTTCCTTCTGCATGATGGCAGTCGAGGTCCAAACTTGAAATGTCTGAAATGTCAGATAATGCACAATAAGTGCAAGATGTATAGATTTTCTTGGTTTTATAGCAACTACGCAGTTGGCAACTTCTTAATCCATTACAGCGTCTGCTGTCTACTGTAGCAGTCTAGTCAGTGTGCCCACATGCTGTCAGAGTTCAACTGAAGTTGAACATTGATTTTGTGAAGCAGTCTGTGCAGAACATAGGTGTCAAGTCACTTTGTCTGCCGCTGCCAGCCACTGCTGAGGATCTATGTCCGGGCTTTTACACCACCACACAGCTGCTTCGTGTAATGTCGCTTGTTGGACATATGTCTCCTTACTCATTTGCCCAATAAAATCTTTAGTGTGCATGGTGTCCTAGGCCTCTAGAAACTTGTCCTTCTGTCACATATTGTTGATCAATTCATCAAAGGACTTGTCACATCTCAACCCATCCATCTGAAAGGGGAAACGATCAATTGAATAACCTCAATGTGGATTGTGACTTCATCGGTTGTATACCCTCAACCTGAAAAGATAAACCATCCAGTAAATAGTGCCACAGTGACCGGGGAAACCATCCAGTAAATAGTGCCACTGTGACCAGGGAAACCATCCAGTAAATTGTGCCACAGTGACCGGGGAAACCATCCAGTAAATAGTGCCACTGTGACCGGGGAAACCATCCAGTAAATAGTGCCACTGTGACCGGAGAAACCATCCTGTAAATAGTGCCACAGTGACCGGGGAAACCATCGAGTGAATAGTGCTACCGTGACCGGGGAAACCATCGAGTGAATAGTGCCACCTTGAACGGGGAAACCAAGTGAATATTCTACCATGAATTTAGATATTACTTGCTTCTGATCAGAGGTTTCAAATCACAATAACCACCACCTATTTTGAAACAGCTGATATGACATCCACTGCACAATGAACATCATGTTTATAGAAAAGGACTTCTTTCTCAGGCAGTTTTCAACAGTCTTGGGTCCTGTTAAAGTTAAAACTGGTGAAACCATCAACAGTCTAGCCTTAACCCAAGCGATGAACATATTTTTCACAAACAAAATTATAAATTGAGTTTTTGTCATTTGTGTGCATACAGCCATGCATGTTTGTGACCAGGGGAAGATGCTGAAACCTCGGCACATGTTAGCATGGTTAGTGTGGATATAACACCTGCATACTTCAGTATGTGTTTGATGAATGGTTAATGAATGCTTGCGACGTGTCTTGAATTGTGGTTTACTGACCAGTCTGATTGTGAAGCCTTGGATACGAGAACTACATTAAATTACATTCCAACAGTGGTGCAGGGGAGAAAACTCTTGATTTGGATGGTTTAGTGTTTAAAAAACATACCACTGCTACTGCGTGATATTACTTGATTCAAATTGCACAAACTTAATTTGAATCAGAGTGGCAGAAGTTTGTTTTTAGTAGACTTATGAATGCGTTAATGTGTCAAGCCTGATTTGATTCTTGACATCCTTCTAGCCTTTAATCATTGTCTCCACATGCAAATGTTAATTAAATTATATTTTTCCTTCATAGATTAAACTTTGTACTCTGAAAACCTTTGTAGCTGAATCTTTTCAGTGATGATCCCTTCTATGGTGTCTCACAGAAATCTGACCCACTTACACACATGGCAGCTATATTGAAAATGTACATTTTTCAATTCTTTGACAATTCTACATGTACCATCACATGCTCTAGTTTTTATGC